TTAACTTAAGAACACTACAACGCACACAAGTACGTTACAAAATTCATCCAGATTTTGTCCGGTTAAACAAATTCCCACATACTCAGTGATCAATAGAGTTGATCTCAACAGAGCAGTCATTAACTTTGAAAATCCGTTTAAATTCTGAAGTGGCAAAACGAAATAATATTTTCCAGGAATTTATTGAATCTTATGTGCTGCTAGAGGATGATTTAACTGAGTTATCTGACAAACCAAAAGGCTTTTTTCTTCCTCTTATTATGTATATCCCGCTGCTCACGTGTAGCAGCCTAAACGCTCTTCATCAACCAATAACGCAATTAGTGCTGACGCATGATTTCTCATTATTTGCGGATTATTCTACAAATCATATTATTATCACGTCTGTCAACGACGAGCGAAGACATAGTTATTCTATTGCTCCAAAATGTCCCCATTTGTCCGTTCTTGTGGAAAATCTGGTCGTTAGTCGTTTTTTGTTGGAGTGACCGGACAGCAGAGTCCGGGCTGTGAGTATACAAAGGAACAATAAAACAAGCTCCAAAAGATGGTAATCTTTTCGCTCAGCTCAAGGCTTGGCAACCAGATATTCAGTACATTGATAGTTGCGCTCTTCAGTAAGATGAACCAAAAGCAAATACAATCCCACTTTATTACCTGGTGGGATTTTAATCATGGAGTTGCATTTCGAAACAAAAAATTTACAAACTGTTACTAACTTGAGTCTTCTAGGCTGGTTGCTCAGATTTTGCTTACTGTTTACCGGATAATTCACCGGACGGCAAGGTACCTTATTGGGTGAGTTTTGATAGTGTGCGATTGGTGCATGTCAGCCGGTTTCTCTTAAATTGAGCATTTGTCCCGAATACAACGGCTGATATTTGGACATCAGAAGAAGTATCCACGATTAATAATATGGTCGGCACTGGCCTGGATAGCTCTGTTCATTATTACCTGCAATCCAGTTTAAAGTAATTTTAAATTCATGAACGAGTTCATTCCTAAGATACAGTATGATTATCAATGGATACGATTCTCAGTAGTACCGCATCTTAGTGCTTTTGTGTTAGGATGCGTATCATCTCCAAAACATCACTTTTTTCTATTTCATTGCACATATATCATAATAACAATTAGATCGAATTGGCATGAACATTATTAGGTTTTGCCAATTTTTTTTCAATCTTTCGTTGTATGTGTCACAACGCGAAATACTGTCTCAGATTGTGCAGATTCAACTGACCAAGATCTGCCTTACACAATTGTTTGTAGCTTTTGCAGCGTATTTCTCTTGCGCATCCTCAACAGCATAATGGATATCGGCTAAAAGCCTTCAATCTTCTCTTCGCAGCAGTCCACAAAACTTAACAGAGACGAAACGGATTCAACCGTAACTATCTTTCGGTTCGACCATCCAAAGCATGGATCTTCAAGAGACAACCATTCGAATGAACTATACCTTCAAAACGCATCACGATGAATCCACGTGCGTTAACAAACGGCGATGAAGTTATACGGACAATACAGCAAATACAGTCTCACAAATGGCGGAAAATCTTCCAACTGTAAATTCAACACATCAAAACGTAATAACTAGACTAGGTCTATTCTAAAGTGAGATTTTGTGTCTCTGATGTGTCTGATCACTCGCTTTGGAGCCACTGCTGACGTACAATGCATAACAACTCATCAACAGTCATCTTTTAGTCAGAACTGACCATTATTATTGACTGCAATTATAAATTTAACTGACGTATCACGTGGGGGGGGGGAGAGTTTTGCTAATCAAATGACATTGATGTTAACATAATGGGTTACTTGTTTGAAAATTGTAGAACTTGTAATGACACCCTGCTGTTGGAATGCCCCTATTGATGTCATTAATTTGGTGAATCTATAGAAACTATCAAAATCGAGTTAGGATTTTTTGGAGCCCCTTTCTTTGCTGGGGTTTGATCTTCGGAAATCTAACGATAAAAACTGGTGTTTTACCCTAATTCTGCCAGCGCAAGCTGGAAGCACCTTGATTTTGTGGTCTTAACAAATGAGGCTATTGAGAACTCCAACCAATGACAATCCCGATTTTGTCGATTGATTCACCCGTCCCTAAAAATGTCCAGCCGATGAGCGTTACAGAAGCCCGAACTGATTGGACATCAATGATCACTTGTGGCTTGCTGTGGAATTTGCGGGATTTACACTCCTATCACTTTGGTTTCAACAGTCACTCCAATAATTGGCTTTATTGTATAGTTCACTTGCTCCGATTTGCGTTTTATTTTTTTTCGGACTTGTATGGATTATTCACGGATTTACTCGTCCGAAACCAAGTCGTATGTGAATAAATTTATCACAGACAGGAGCGTAGTGTCATTTGATTGCGCCTATATAATTGATCCATAGACAGGGTAGTATTTCACACCCACCTTTAGCCTGACGGGAAAACCCCGGGGAAATCATTGACACCGAATCACAGTGGCGGCACTTGATAGAATAGCTAATCAAATGAATTTATTTTCTGCGCAGTTTATTTGCCAGAAAAAGAGGCTATGCTGATAAATGTGCTTTCCTCGCTCCTGCTCCTGATTGCTGACACTGTCCAAAATACTCGAAAAAAATAACCTTTTAACCATGGTTTGGTTTAAATACATAGGGTTTCTTCTACGTGAGCTTAGAACTGTAATTTGCCAGCTTATTCTACACTGCAATACCACAAAGTCTTGAGCTTAGTAAAATGATGCGTAATACAGCACACTTCCCGAAAATTAAGCTTTCAGGGACAAATTGAAAATGGCTATTTTAAACTGTGTAAGTTTTTCGGTAGCAGAAAATGTGACCCAAAGTGCTAATAAATTTTTTTTATTAGGGCATGCATGTGGCTTGGAACAGATGCCAGTTTCAAGAATCTGCATGATGCATTCTATCACTTGCGAGCACCAAACTGTGTAGTATGTTCCGTCAATATAGTGTTATACGTATCAACTGAAACGCGTCAGCTTTTGTGGAGAAAATTTGACTGAACAATATTAGAAACGACAGCCATATATGGGATTCAGTTCAATCTACCGTTGGCAGCAAAACAATTTGTAAAGAGGCATACTTCGACGATCGCCTAAAGCTTGACGTATTAGTAAGGTGGATGGGAACTTAGAGAGGGCGCTTATCTGGTGGGACTCAAGAAACGTCGAATCTGTCCCATGATGTAGAAAAATTTCTACTAAGCTAGTCAGTAGCGTGCTCCATCCGAACTAACATTAGTTTTGGGAAATATACTCACTGGCAAATTAATGAGTGTATTTCTTGAGAACAGTCCGATTCGGGTTCAAATAGAACATAAGGTTGACGAATACTCAGGGACTGCGCCTACCTGATAAGCCCCAAGAAGGGCGAAACCGGTCATGGGCTGTCGAAGCGTTTTCAGTAAACTTGTGAGTATTTTACTTTATGATAACATTAGTATCATTCATCAAATCAGTTGATTCTAGGCTGTTGGGAGGCAATTCTTGGGACAACTTTTGATACGGTGCGTTCACATAGGATATTGCGCAACCAACATTTTCTAAACCACTAACCTAAAAATTTTCAAATGTTGATTAAGAGTTTAAAAACTGGCTTCCATTGCAGCGCATCATATTTGCTGTTGGTCAGTCATTTAATATGTATTTTCCGTCCATTCATCTTTTGCATTCAGTATACTTTACGCCTCACCATAATCAGAGCAATCATGGTAGAATTAACCGTAAGTTTCCTCTGTGACCTGGGAGAGAAAGGACTAAACTGGCCAGAATAAATGTTTTGCCGCTAGTTTACCCGCTAAAACACCGTTTAACCTGCTAGCTATTTAACTCCCGAAGCTCGACTTTTTGACACGAAATACTAACACGGTATTTTCCGAATCCGCAATTCACGACCCACCTTACTCCAGGGTCATTGCTGCAACTTCCAAAATTGGCTCTGAGTTTTGATATCCTTATATACATATATATGTATACGTCATAACTTGAGAGCGGTGTATTGTAGAGACCATAACAAAGTGCGAAACTTCTCAAGTGGCCTGATTTAGCAAATGAACTTTCTCATTTGCCTAGACCCACCCAGAAAAGCTATATCAAAACGACCGATGTGATTGAAGGTGACATTGCACTGGCTTTTGGTTTTGTCGAGTTACAGTGAAAAACAGACTGCTGTGAAGCAGCCTATTTCAATAATTACGTCAGTTAAAGGTGCTCTGTTGCACTATTTAACCAATCATTTTTTTTAAAATAATCTCTCATCCCTGTCTCCTAATTTCGGATCCAAACGTTGGATGGTGACCTTACATAAATCCGATGCTCCACTAGGTGAAATTGTGCAGTATTATTTAGAAAACACCTGGCTTTATCCCCTTTATAAGTGTCCCTGCGTTAAGCGCTTGGTTATTTATTTCAGCTGCATATATACAAATTTAACGAACCTTCATGCTGACAGTTTTGGATAATTCTGCATAAAATGCATACCAACGGCCAACGTTTATTCTCCTCATCAAGGATAGTCTGAAGACGTTGCCCAAATCAAAACGGAATGGCGGATTCTGACTTCATCTTGATGGTGTTCTTTCGCGAAGACATAGAATATTTCCATATATTCATCAGTCTAGCGGTATGAACGCAGCTCACAATCAGCCAAAGCTAATAGTAGGATGTATTTTACTTCTTCTACAAAAGACAGAGTTGGGAGTGCTAATTACCATTCGTAGACTAACCATCATTTTTATCCAGTATCCTATTTTATACTTTGAATCTGCCATAAAGGCGGTTTGTGGTTACGTAATAAATTTCTGCGCTTCAAATGGAGAAAAAACGCTATCCTACCACTGAACATTTTAGGCAAACTAGGAGAGCATTACCGCGAGAATTCTAGTCAACGAGCAGTCGAACTGTTGCCAGTCAGCACTGGTTTTGAGTATCATTGACTATGTCAGATTATGGCGGACATGAGATTGCATTGTGCTTGATATCAAGTCAGAATGGGTGACTTACATTGAAATTGTACTCGCCGTGGAATTCTGGATGACAGTCGTTCACATCCTCTACATGAATCACAACTGTAGCTGTACTGCTCAAGCTTTCAGGAGAGCCATTATCTCGTGCTCGGACATGAAGCAAGTACTTATCTTGCTGTTCACGGTCAAGGTCTTTGATCAGATGTATTTCGCCACTTGTGGAAACTGTAAACCGTTCATTTTGATCAGGCTCCAATTTGGAATTACCCTGGTTAGCCTCTACACGTGTCGTGGAACTAACCATTTCGAATGTGATTCGAGCATTCTCCCCACTGTCTGGATCAGCTGCGTACAAACGGCCAACAAGTGAACCTCTGTCAGCGTTCTCTGCTATCCGGAATTCGAAAGTTTTCTGTTCACTTAGATTCCATGTTGACTGCAAGTTGTCAGAACGCTTTGTATTCCAACCCATTTGGTTTTGTTTCATTAAGGTTTGCCGGTCTTCTTTTCGATAAAACCTTGGATGATTATCATTCACATCTTGAATATTGATTACAATGACTCTGCTGGAGGTAAGTGCTGGTGTTCCATTGTCGACACACTGAAGCATTACAATGTACCTGGCTGTCGATTCACGATCAAAATGCACTGTAGGTTGAGTCTCCAGTCGAAATACTGACCATCGTCCGCGTCTACCTGGGTCGAAAGATGACGTTGATGGCGGATTTGAGACAAACTCGTGAGGTGATTCTACGTCTGTAAGCAATTTTTGGTCTGCGCCACCAACAAGTACGTTTGCTGCTGGACCGTGAACGGCCTCTTTCAGAGAAAAATATCTTGTGTCGTTCAGAAAACATCGGAAGACGGAGTTTGCCGAATTCTCCACGTCAAGGTCGCGAACAGTAATCAGACTGATTAAATCTGCCTGACCACGGGAGTTTTCGACTAAACTAAACTCGTTTCCGCGCATCTGCAAAAGCAATGGGAGATGACATTTTATAGGCCAAACCATTAAATGAGCAGTTATTGTAGTTGATTTATGGTCTTCATTACAAAAGTATCCCGTTAGTCTCACCCCAAGCCGATCAAATCTAGGATGTGACCCTCAACCGTGACCCTCACCGAGCTTTCATCGAAGCTCCGTCATAAACAAGGATACGACCACAGTTCACCTTATAATAATCCGCCACTGATAACCGAGGATGGTTGCTTCAGTTTCGATGGCTAAAAAATCAGAACTGTGGTGAGCACAAATTCGATGCTGATTCACTTACGAATATATAAACGCATAATTGTTCACTTTGGTACTAATTTTTTTATTTTATTTTGTATATTCCAAAGTCGAGGGGCGCTATTCGGGCTTCCGGTTTTTGGAAACAGCAGTTAACAACATGGATATGACTAAATCCACTCAAAATCAACAAACATACCGCTAAATGCTGCATCACTTGTGTAACCCTATATATATATATACATATATATATATATATATATATATATAT